TGTCGACGACGAGTACGACGATACGACGCACACAGCCCAGACGACTGATACGCCCGATACTCTTGGGACGACTGCGACGACTGAGACCCTTTTTGGGCTCAGTGGTGCGTGTGCCATAGGTTTGGCTGCGTACCTGACGGAGCGCTAGCACTCGCGCACACAGGACCGGGCGCGACCCTTTCATAGAGTCATACGCAAGTCACGGCAGGCGAATGAGTCCCAGCGACGATGGAACCGTGCTTACCGAGTGCGACTACGCAGTCTAAATTTTCATGTACTATTTCACTTAATCGACGAGTCCTACGTGACCTAACTACCTATGCTGGGTTCGAGGGGGAAATCAGTCCACTGCGGGCCATAAACTTTTCCTATGGTTCTAAGCGTTAAAGGTATCACAACACACAATAAACAATAGTGAATATATAACCGTAACGTATCGACGCTTTGAAATGAGATCGATGAAGCGTCGAAGACGTTCTTGGACGACCCGTTGCCGACGATTCCGACGAGCTGGACAGGAGGTAGATTCGGCGACATTGAGTAAAGCAGTAGAACTTGACGAGGTGAACGACGTGACGACAATGCATGATTGTGGATCCTTGTTTTTCGACCTATTCTGTGAGTATTACCTCTTTTGTAGGGTTCTGTTTCTGTGTGAGGGGGAGATTTCTGCCTCGCTATGCTGAAAAACTCAAGGACAGTCAAGGGAAGATTGAAGAAGGATTGACGGGTTGAGCAAAGGAAGAAGCGGTCTCCGGCCGCTCCCCAAGAATACACGCTGAAAACTGCCAAAATACATGATTAAACTTGGGGCCGTCAAATGTGAATCGATGAGTTCGATTATGAGTTTTAACGATTTTTTTACTTGCGCTACGCGTCCCATATAAGTTTGTTTGCTGTTTCTGCTGTTCTACTTGGTTAAACGCTTTGTGAGGGAGGAATTATCTTGTCAGGAGATTTGCTACGCATGGTGCTTGTTTCGACTCAAAATTTAAGCGGGCATAACTGTGTTAAAAATCGCGTCTTACTTTATCCGTTAAGGGTGCGGACATCTGCCGAGCATATGGATTGGTCTTTACCGATATGCAACCTTTCAATGAGCCCAAATGGCCACTATCCCTTGGCAATCTTGTCGGCTATGATCACGATGTCATCAACTTGTGGAGAACAGATTGAATATTCGTGCTGCCGCATGCAGATTTTTTGACGTTCTTTCAATGCGCTAATGTACTCTGAATGACAAATCTCCCAGAACTGTTTAAGGATCGTCAGCATTTATTTGTACCACTGAGTGAGATTACTTGACATGTCAAGGATTGGATCAGATGGGGATGATAATGTTGGGAGTCGGACGGTAGCCTTGCATACCACGGTGAAGGGTTCCCATGTCACCCTTCACCGCGGTAGGCGTACTCAACGCGGCCGATCAGACTTCAGCCAATGGCCACTCCACCTTACTAAAGCTAGAACAACAACAAAAACAATTGAAAGTTCGCCGGCCTTTCATAGGCGCTAACAAGGAAGTTCATTCAGGGTGTGGGACGCTTTTTGAAAATGGTTCCTTGCATGGTATAGTGCTAAACACTGAGTTTAAACTGTGGTCTGTTTCCTGGCCTTCTGAATGCAAAAAAAGAGTGAAAATTACTTTGTCAGGAATTGCCGTTCAACCTACTAAGCTTCGTTTGTTTCATTCATGACGTCGACTGTCCGCACAGTAGAAGGCGCCAGTGGTCTGCGCATTGTAAATAACGTGAACGGTAGCCAAAAAAGGGAGCCACATGTTGAAACATGTTGAAAAGTGCGGAGAGATCTTACATGCTCTCCACGGTTAAGGTGCTGGCAGCGACGGATGGTGTGGTGGATAGCGATGTGGATTTCGAGTTAGGACGACTGGGCTGGGTTGATGGTTCGGATTCCCGAGGCTTTGCCGTTTTTGCTTTTTATGCTGCCACTTCGAGATTGGCTCCATATTGCACCAGGGCCAAAGCAAGTGCCTGACGGGTCATGGTCGTGACCAGGATCAGCGATAACCTCTGCAAGTCTTTAAAATTTAGAATTTGATGTGTGGAGCACCATCAGTGGAGAGATTCCAGGCTCCACACTCCCGGTAGTATAAAGGGGTCTCTTCATTCCACACTATATAAGGGTTGTAGTGGGGGTCAAAATCCTATATTATGGTTCCTGTTCGATGGAAGCGGTCCTCGACCTCGTTCGTCAATGCAAAGGTAACAGGATTACTGTATTCACTCTGGCTCCCGATTCCCTGGCGTCAGCTGGGCGTCAACCGCGGACTCCTGTGGAAGAACGAATCAGGTTCTCTTTCAACGCGTTTTCTTGCTGAAGGTTCCATGAGCATTGAGCCTGATATAAAAAGCTGTCAATGACTAGATGAAGGATTTGGGGATTACCCGTTCCCAACATACGATCCTCCAACTCCGCGTCCTGCTATGAAGGAATGGCAGGACGCGATCAAGAAGGAGATTGCTGAAGTAGAGGTTATTGCAGAAGATACTGATCGTGAGGAGAGAAGGAAATGGAGATGACCAACCAGAACAGTGAACAACACCCTTCAACGGCGCAAGATCAAGGCTAGGGTAAAAAATGGTGGAATCATCGACGTTAGATGCGCATTTCTTCAGTTTTGATGGGATTCGGTCGAAACGAAACAACAATCAAACCATTACTGTCCAAATCATTCAAAGAACTGTATGCCCTTACAATGTCCGAAGACCAGATGACATGATATCGAGTTTTTTGACTACCAAAATGATATCACATAAATTTACCAACGTTTCGCCAACTGAATGAATTCTGGATGTGAGGGATGCAAAGACAGCCGAACTGATGAAAAAAACTACGTGAGGAAGTTAAGGGGGGAGGGGGAGGGGGATAGGGGGACTCCTGGGAGTGTTAAGCCTGGAAGCTCCTCCACTAATAGTGCTCAACACATCATTGCTATCATAAAACCACTGATAACTGTGTAGAATATTTGCTACCCCTTGACCTTTGATTGTTTGTCACCCCGTATCGGCTAGGTACAAATACCCGTTGCACCGCCGATACGGGGCCTTTTTGTGCTTACAATAAATCTGCACATAGCCACAGTGAACACACACACCACCCGAGAAAAGGGTAAAGGCTGGCGAGCCACAAACTGAGCAGTTCTTGTCATGTACGGCTATCTCTAAACGTCGACATAGTGTAAACGTTGGTTTTCTCTGCTTGAACTCGGACGAGGTTGACAAATTCCTTTATTTCGGCTTACGTTTCGGCGTGGATCGCCTTCTTCAGAGCCTGGAATGATCGAAGCAATTTATG